CCCATCCCATCCCATCCCATCCCATCCCATCCCATCCCATCCCATCCCATCCCGATCCCTCCTCAGGAGCTGTGGGAAGGTGGGGGAGGAGCAGCAGGACACTCCAGGACCATCGCAGGATCCCCCCCAGGATCAATCCCAGGATCCCCCCAAATCCCGGGATTCCCCCCCGGCCCCGGAGCGGGATGAGCAGCTCTCAGGTAACGTTCCCTCCCAGTGCCTCCTTCCAAGGATTCCCAGTGCTGATCCCAGGGAATCCAGGCAGCCCCGTGGTGTCCCAGGGGATCCTGAGATCCCAGGAATTCCCTGAGATCCAGGAATTCCCTGAGATCCCAGAATTCCCAGAGCTCTGCAGGTTCCATGTCCGGCTCAGCCCGGAGGGGCCACGGCTGCTCCTCCTGCTCCCCCTCCGGGATCCCCCTGGAAAACAGGGATCAGTCGCTCCCAGGGTTCCAAAGGCTGGGAGCCAGGGCTGGAAAAGGCCTGGGAATGGGATCCAATTCCCAGTTCCCATGACCCCAGTCCCAGTTCCCATGACCCCATTCCCAGTGTCCATGACCCCATTCCCATGACCCCATTCCCAGTTCCCATTCCCAGTTCCCATGACCCCATTCCCATGATCCCATTCCCAGTTCCCATGACCCCATTCCCATTCTCATGACCCCATTCCCAGTTCCCATGACCCCATTCCCATGACCCCACTCCCAGTTCCCATGACCCCATTCCCATTATCCCATTCCCTCTCCCAGCCCCCCCAATCCCGTTTTTCCGTGTCCCAGCTCTCCAGGCTCAGCTGTTCCAGCAGGAACGGGATCGGGATCGGCTCCAGGAGGTCGTGGCTTCCCTGGAATCGCGGCTGGCGGAGCAGGAGCAGCTCCTGGAGCAGGTGATTCCTGATCCAGCCCCGTTCCCAGTGGGATGGGATCAATCCCTGGAGCCCCCCCTGCCCTTCCAGGAGCGGTGCCGGGCCCGGGCCGAGCGATCCCGGGCGGATTCCCTGCGGAAGGAGCTGCGGGAGCAGCGGCAGCTCCGGGATCAGCTGCTCTCCCGGGACAGGGAGGAGCTGGATGAGGCCAAGGTGGGCTGGGACAACATTCCAGGGATTTCCTGCCTTCCCAATCCTGCTCCGGGGGGGAGGGACAACATTCCAGGGATTTCCCGCCTTCCCAATCCTGCTCTGGGGGCTGGGACAACATTCCAGGGATTTCCCAGCTTCCCAATCCTGCTCCGGGGGCTGGGGGGGAGGGAAAGGGCTGGGAAATGGGGATGGGACTGACCGGGAAAATGGATTGGGAGCAGCTGGGAAATGGGATTGGGAGCAGCTGGGAAATGGGATTGGAACAATCCGGGAATGGGATTGGGAGCAGCTGGGAAATGGGATTGGGATCCATCCAGGTCCATACATGGGGAATATCCCGGGATGCAACTGGGAATCCCTGGTGGGAAGGGATTGGGAAGGGATGGAATCTCTGGACTGGGAGGGATGGAAGGAGGGAATCCCTGGATTGGGGGGGATGGAAGGAGGGAATCCCTGGATTGCGAAGGGATGGAAGGAGGGAATCCCTGGATTGGGAAGGATGGAAGGAGGGAATCCCTGGATTGGGAAGGATGGAAGGAGGGAATCCCTGGATTGGGGAGAGGTGGAAGGAGGGAATCCCTGGATTGGGAAGGGATGGAAGGAGGGAATCCCTGGATTGGGAAGGATGGAAGGAGGGAATCCCTGGATTGGGGGGGGATGGAAGGAGGGAATCCCTGGATTGGGAGGGATGGAAGGAGGGAATCCCTGGATTGGGAAGGGATGGAAGGAGGGAATCTCCGTTGGGAAGGGATGGAAGGAGGGAATCCCTGGATTGGGAAGGGATGGAAGGAGGGATGGAAGGAGGGAATCCCTGGATTGGCAATGATGGAAGGAGGGAATCCCTGGATTGGGAAGGGATGGAAGGAGGGAATCCCTGGATTGGGGGGGATGGAAGGAGGGAATCCCTGGATTGGGAGGGATGGAAGGAGGGAATCTCCGTTGGGAAGGGACTGGGATCATCCCCAGCATTCCCAGGCCTCGTGGCTGGAGCAGCAGCGGGAATTGCTCCGGGAATGCTCCGAGGAGCGCCGGAGGCTGGAAAAGGCCCGGGTGGAATTCCAGAGCCGGGAGAGGCGGAGCCAGGAGCGCTCCGAGCACCTGGAGTCGGCCCTGAGGGACCTGGACAAGGTGAGGGCGGGAAAATCCCAATTTGCTTGGCGTTTCTGTGGTTTGTGTGGAATTTGTGTTCAAATCCTACACCCCCCCCTTGCCTGGGGATGTTCCCTGAGGATTTTCCTGGGAATGTTCCCTGGGGATGTTCCCTGGCATCTGTGGGAGTGTTCCTGCCATCCTTGGGAATGTTCCCTGGGAATGTTCCTTGACATCCCTGGGAGTGTTCCGTGCTATCCCTGGGGATGTTCCTGCGATCCCTGGGGACATTCCCTGCCCCCGCTGCTCTCCAGGGTCAGGCTGAGCTGTGGTTCCATTCCTGTTGTCCCTGGGGGTGTTCCTGTTGTCCCTGGGGACATTCCCTGCCCCCGCTGCTCTCCAGGGTCAGACCGAGCTGCGGTTCCGTTCCTGTTCTCCCTGGGGATGTTCCTGTTGTCCCTGGGGACATTCCCTGGGGACATTCCCTGCCCCCGCTGCTCTCCAGGGTCAGGCCGAGCTGCGGTTCCGGGCGCGGGAGCTGCGGGCGGAGCAGGAGCGGCTGGAGCGGGAGCGGGAGGGGCTGGAGGGGGCGCGGCGGGAGCTGCGGGCGGAGCGGGAGAAGCTGCTCCGGGACACGGAGCGGCTCCGGCAGCGGGAGCTCGACATCCAGGCCCTGGCTGAGGTTGGTGATTCCAGCCGGGGCTCCCTCTGCGGTGGGAATCGTGTCCCGAGGGTGGGGGAGGGGTGCCCAGGATCCCCTGGGCAGGGAGGGGGTTCATTCCCATCCCCATTCCCATCCCCATTCCCATCCCCATCCCCATTCCCATCCTGATCCCCATCCCCATCCCGATCCCCATTCCCACCTCATTCCCCCCCATTCCTACCCCATCCCCACCCCCTTCCAATCCTGATCCCCATTCCCATCCC